CTTAGGGAGGGTCTTATTCAAAACATCGAAACAAGCACTCACAGATCTGTAAAGTAGGAAGGAAACTTTATTCAAAGCAAAGCAATACTAAAGATCAGAATATGTGGCAAGAAAGCAAGGAGCCACACTAGTTAGAAATACTCAACACCCTGGCCTTTGTGTGGGGCTTCCTTTTACAGGATCCAAGAGAAGGCAGAGTTTGGTTGCTAAGGACTTTAGTGTGAGTCTGTCTCTATTTTGACTGACAGGCTTGGATTCAGTAGGCCTTTGCTCACTGCTCATGTTCCTTCCCATGGTACACTTGATTTTAATGATGGCACAACAAATTATGCATAGGAATATTATAAACAGGAGATTCTCCCTTAAAAGTTCATTTGGGAACATAGGTTTGCCTTATTGCTCTTGTTCTCAAAACCAGTTAAGGCCAGATCGTCTTTCTTACTTTCAAATATGATCACAAGTCGGTTATGATTGAATAGAATTTATCTTAGACTGATAGTTGTAGCACGAATCTTAAAAGGTCTTACTAATAAAAACAAACCCGGAGCCAGGTATTGGGGTAAACGGTGAATTATCAGAAAAACAGAACAAGCCACATCCAACCTCACCTTGCCAATTCCTCAGCTGATCTTGTTTCCTCAGACTGAAAGCCTCTGAATCCTCATCTGAATGGATCTCAGCTGAACTGCTGCTAAAAGCTAAACGCTTAAAAAAAGGCTCTAGTTCCTGGTCCTCACACCTTATATACCTTTCTGCTTCCTGCCGTTACTTCCTGGGATTAAAGGCGCGTGTCACAATGCCTGGCTGTTTCCAGTGTGGCTTTGAACTCACAGAGATCCAGACGGATCTCTGCCTCCAGAATGCTAGGGTTAAAGGCGTGTGCTACCACTGCCTAAACCTATGTTTAATATAGTGGCTGTTCTGTTCTCCGACTCCCAGATAAGTTTATTGGGGTGCACAATATATCCACCACAGATAGTCCTTACATAGAAAAACCTACTCCATTGTTAAGAGTAGGGTGTGTGAGTAGCTTGATGAAGGTGGGGGTCTTTAGTTGCTTAATCTGCAACATGCTGTTAGGCATATTGTTTAGAGAAGGGTGTGGGTACACAGGACATGCAGGTGAGACCCCTGGATGTCAAGTCCATTATTAGAAGGGGTGTGTGTGCACAGCCCATACCAAGTGGAGTTCTAGGTCACTGAGCTGCTACTCCTGTGCTTTCCTGCCTGGAGAAGTTCTAGTTAACATCATCTGTGACGGCACAGGGTATTATGAGTGACTTGGAATTTTTTGTTTTATAGCTTAAAAATGTTTAGCTGAATGGCAATGTGTGTTCTCTTAAACTGTTGACTGACTGTCTACATTTATACACTAACGAAATGGAAAGGGACATAAACGTCATTATTCTGGCCAAATAGAATGAAGTTTTTCTTTTCTTGTGGGAAAACTGTTTTAAGTATTAATTTAATTAACTGACAATTCTTTTTATTTTATTTTTTGAGTTTTATTTTTTGAGACAGGATTTCTTGTATCTTGGGCTGGCTTCAAGCTCACTATGTAGCGGAAACTAAGCTCAAACTCCCCTTGATGCTCCTGCCTTCGCCTCCCAAGTACTGGGATTGTGTGCTGTGCTGCCCTGCCTACCTACTAGTCACCACTTTTCAGGGCTGTGACAAATTCTGAGTCTTCAGATGAGGTCTTAGGTAAGCTGATTAGTAAGTAGCAGATTGCCGGGCGGCGGTGGTGCACGCCTTTAATCCCAGCACTCAGGAGGTAGAGGCAGAGCCAGGCAGATCTCTGAGTTTGAGGCCAGCCTGGTCTACAGATCAAGATCCAGGACAGTCACCAAAACTCTTTTAAAAACAAAAACAAACAAACAAACAAAAAACCCCCCCAAAAAAAAATAAAAATAAAGATAAAAGAAGGTAGCCAGATGTGTGCTCTAAAAACCATTTAAGGAAGTAGATTTCTTAATATTTTTAATTTAATTTATTTTATTATATGTGCATTGGTGTTTTCCCATGGTGTAAGGTCCCCTGGAACTGGAATTACAGACAGTTGTGAGCTGCCATGTGGGTGCTGGGAATTGAACCCTGGGTTCTCTGAGAGAGCAGCCAGTGCCCTTAACCACTGAGCCATCTCTCCAGCTCCAAAAGTAGATGATTTTGAAAATGATTTTTTTTTTTTTTTTGGTTTTTCGAGACAGGGTTTCTCTGTGTAGCTTTG